CGGAAGTCTGCCTGGGAGGCCGCCGGCCGCGGCTCCCCTCAGCAGTCCCGCCCCGGGACGCGTTTCGTGCCTCCGGGCTCGGCCGCAGAGCTGTTCTGTTGGCGGCACCCTTCTGCGCGGGGGGGGTGGGCCAGCCCCGGCCGGGGCCAGGTGGGCGAGCATGCTCCGCAAAGGGGCTGCAGAAACGGCCAGGAGCACCCCGAGCCGGTGTCCGCAGGCATGTTTTAAAAGCAGTTTCTGGTTTACCCTTGGGTGTCATGCGTAGCTCGCAGCCACGTAGAATTTGAATGGCGTTTTAGAAATATTCAGGCTGTCTTGGTTGAAGGTTGTTAATGAATGGCTCTTGTTGATACCGCAGCCAAATGGAATCCGTTTCAGGATTCGGTAGGTACGTTGGAAGCAGGATGGAGAAGTAGTAAAAGCCTGTTTAAGTCATTTGAACCTTTGAATGTATGAAGTGCAGAGTGGTTATACAGGCTTTGCTTTTAAGGCCATTATTCATACTTCTGTTAAAAGTATTTGAAATACTAAAATATTTTAAAGAGGATTTTTATTGGACAAATACTTAATATTGTTTGCATGTTTAAATCACTTTATTGCACCAAAAGTACCTAACCTCAACCTTCTTTACAATCGTATAGTTAACAGGCAATACAGAAGGTGTTTCTCAGGAAGGGATTGTAAAATAAGTTGACGAGATCCTTCTGTTTTATGATTCATTATTTCCAGTATGAGTAACTTAGAACATTTCAGAAACATTCCGTACATTCAGGCAGCATACTCTGAGAAAAAGCAAAGAGGTGTTTAAAAATGGAATGCTATGTAAATGCATGCTTGTACCACAAATAGTAATTGAGGTTGGCACAATACTGGAATTAAGGTAGGATGACAGAATGTCTTAAAAGTTTGATAATAGTAATATCAAAATAGATTTTGGTATACAAGTCCTGATTCTGTTTGGTGCTTAAAAATTTGGTTGACGTTAGACACTAAGCGCATTGCTTAGTGGGACAGTAAATTGGTAATAAAGTGAAACTGTATTTCTCCTGTGCTTTCCAATGGAGCTGAAATAGTACACAGTTCTATTTTATTACATGAATGACAGTCATTTAATATTTCAGTGTTTGGTTTCAGATGTTTCATCAGTTTTTAATTTATAAACATTTCTCTTGTAATTTTAAATTTGATTAATAGGCAGCCTACAACAACTTGATGCGTGCTACTAGGAGATGGGGAAAACAGGAATAGGAAATACAGTTCTCTGAGGAGTTTCATTTGGCCTGTTTTTATGCTGCCTTGAGGAGAAACGGCTCTCCTCTCCTGTTGGTCACTTGTTCCCAACCCTGCTCCATCTGTGCCAGCCAGCCCTACTGTCTGTGTAGCAAAATAGATTTGGAAATTCATCTGGTTAAAGGCTAGCTTAGCAAAAAAGGAAAATAAAATTTTTCAGAAAGATCAATTTGCTTAGCTGGGTTAATGTGCAATTTCATGAATGTCTTGGCACAAATAAGACTAAAGAAATAGGTAGATGGGGCCTTGCTTTCAGCACTGTTACTTGGAAAGACTGTGGGAACTACCCTTTCCACGTATGGAGTAGGCAAGCAGCAGGTGAGATTTATGTTAAAATAAATTGAGCTTGAAACTATTGTTTTATTTTTCAGTGTAAGGTTGCTGCAAACCTTTACAAAACATTTTCACTTAAAAAAAAAAAGAAAAGCTGAAGTAATGTTAAGCCTTTAATAATTTAAATAATTACTAGCCTTTAATTTCCTTGTTAAATTTTCTAATATAAATCTAGAATGAGAAAAGAAAATGAGGAAAGACTTTAGAGCTCTTACTTGGCTCAGGTTGTGCATAACTTGGACTTTGCCAGCATGTGTGATGGGGAGCAAATTAGCACAATTTCTTCTGTAATTGTACTTCTAAATTTGTATAGCAGACAGCAGTGTGGTGCTTGATTATCTCTACTAGCTTTAATGAACTAGCTTGACTACTGGAGAAGTTCAGTTATAGCTGCGGGGGGCTCCAAGGGAGCTAATTTACTCCCTAGATAACATGTAAAAATAGGTTGGGTGGAGCTCTGGGCTGTTGTGTCTTGGCAGCTTCTGGTATGTATATAAGGTAGCTCAGTTAAAACTAGTGTCAGTATCGTTTTATTATACTGCTTTGTGTGATGAATACACATTCTAAGTGGCAGTGCTGTTAGTTTTCTGTGTACACACAGGCTGCATCCACGTTTTGATAGCTAGATGATTTTTTACACTAAGGCTGCTTAGTCCTGTGTTTTCATACCACTCTGGCTTTTAACTTTAAAGCTTTCTTTGAAGTAACTTCTTTTCGAAAAGCATTACTGTTCATAGAATCAAATAGGGGGCCCCACCATCTTTTTATTTGTTTCTTTGGTCGCAAATGCTGTACAGAGTTCTGTTGACCAAGGTATGTACGGTTATATATACAGAGCTCAGTGTGAACTTTTTGTCCAGTTCTGCAGTGTTGTAGGCTTTTTAAATGCACTGGGTGTACTTAAGCAAGTGCAGAATCTCTTTAGAGTTGGGGTATGCACCTATGCAAAATAATCACCGTATTACTGAAACATATAAAGTGTTTATTTAATACTTTCTTGAGCAGAAGTGTTTAAAAAATTGCTATACAGTTTTCAAAAGGTAAGCCTAAATTTAGTCTCCAAAATCCGTTTAGACTTTTAAAAAGAAAATGGCATTCAAAAACCACAACTGTCTTTGACTGCAGCATTTCTTTTATATCAGCATGCTGATTATTTTCTTAAGAATCTTGAATTAGTTCAAAAACATATCTTTGGGTATTTGTAACTACCATCAGATAGCTGGTCTGAGTTGAAGTACTAATTATTTTGAGAGGCAACATGGCAACATTCAGAGAACTACAAGTGTTTATAAACTGTTTAGAATGAAAGCTGCAGTGAAATAAAGGCTCTTGCATTGTGCAGCATGGTTTCTTGATGTATGGAGCATCACGGAAATTCAGGTTCACTTTTTTTAAAAAAAAAAACAAAAACAACGACTGGGGTCATCCTAAAATAGACTCCTACAGAGACCAAATGGAGATTCCTGAAATAGGTTATTATGTGGTTGAAGGTGTGTTAATCAATAGAAGTATGGAGAATATGTAATCTTCAATAACTGGAGGTTACAGGGATATATATAGAGATATGTATGTAGATATGTAGTCCTTCTAACCTTTTTGCCTGTATGCTTTCTGGAATTTTCTATATTTTAAGAAAGGAATAGAAACTGATAAGGTGCTTCCCCCTTGCTGCTCTGAATCTACTGATATGTGTCCAGCATATCAAGATTGCAGTTAACAGAGATGATTTCAGTTATTTTCTGGTGTGTATCTGGGGAGATTTCTTAAATTTAAGAAATAATTTTACCAATGTTACCATTTTATTTCTGTATTTCTTTTATAAATTGTCAATAAAGCTGTTTTAGAAACCCTAGAGAGAACTGTAATAGGACATAAACTATGAATATTTAGGTAGAATACTTTTGCTTATAGTATTTCTAAACAGAAGGCAAAAGAGAGTGTACCGAGTGACTTTGAATAGCCAATATAAGCAATATTTTTACCTCTCAAGTGATTGAGGAGAAAAAAAAAATATTTTAATTGTGGGAGAGAGAGACTTATTATAAGTCAGCAAGACTTTTCCACCAATATGTGGGAAGTTACTTACTGATACATATGAGTCAATTAAAAAGCCACTCTCACTGAAAAGGATTTGTTGATATTTGTTGATATTGTTGAAATTTGTATTTGAAATTATTTGCATATGTAGATTTAATGAGTTTCTAAATGTATTTATAAATATTTAGTATTAATAATGGAATGCTTGTATTTTTAGGTGAAATTTGGAAATACAACATTTAAGACAGATGTGTATCCCAAATCACTTAATCCTCAGTGGAATTCTGAGTGGTTCAAATTTGAAGTAAGTATTTTTTAAGAGCTTGCCTGCATCTATATAGATACTCTGGTTTAGATGCCCTTAATGAAATAATTTCATTTCAGGCAGAAAATGAGTTTTGAGGAGTGAAGTGTATTTCTGTTTAAATACACACAAAGCCTTTTCAGCAAACCTGTCTACAGTTAGACCTTGTTTGCTAAAGGTGTCTCATTGGCTTTTTAGGACTGTTTGTAAAGATAAAAGCTTGCCAGATTGGATCCAACTCAGATGTTATTCTGGGTAATAATAAAAAAGACAAGACAGAGGTAAAAGTGGGGGGAAAATAGCGTTATGGATTAGGCTTTCAGATATCAGTACGGGTATGCTTGTGGGGTTTTTTTGAAGGGGTAATTTTGAGTAAGGAGAGTTAATTGGGATTTGAAATGTTACTTTGGGTTGCAAAAATAATGCACTTGACAAAGAAGAAAATGGAAAATTCCTATGAGAAAAATTACAAAATAAAGACCTTGGACAAAAATTATTGGACACTGTCTTTTCCCATTTCCTTATGTAATAATGAGGGCACTCAGCATTTCCCTGTAATTGCTTGTTGCTTTCCATGATCTGATTTGTTGATGTCCTTTGACATTACACCCTGAACAAGTGTTTACATATTCTTTTTTTTTGTTACTGCATTTTTTTTAATTACTTAAAAAAAAGAATAAAGTAATTGTTAAAACATTTGAATATATAGTACTGGTTCATTTATAGTGTGCTAAGATAACATCACAGTATAAGCATAGCTGTAAATATATGTACATGTAAAGAGTGATGTAATAGCTGGTAATGTTAGAAATATTTTAAGAGTAAATATAGTAAGCTTAGGCAGATTATTGATCAACATGGAATGCTTGATTAAGAGCATCTCTTCATCAGCAATCCATGTTGATTAAGAAAGTAGTACTGTGGTATTCAAATTCAATCAGTTTTCTTTTTTTATCTTTCAGTTCCTGGCGTCATTTTTTGGGGGAGGGGAAAGAGCTGATCTGTGTGGAGGGTTAACTCTGTTCATACAGAAAGAGTTTTTTTTGACAATAACAGAATTCTCAAAATTCTGTCTTTTTGCATGGAAAAATGGATTTGGGAAAGCAAAGAGCCAAACAGCAACACTGAAAAGAAAAAAAAAATAAAAGAATTCCACATTTCAAAGAGTGGAAGAGCACTAACCACTTAAGACATCGTGTGTGTGTGTAGTTTGATCTTTTTGCAAGACTGCACGTTATAATTCTGCAAACACTTACATGAGTCATCCCATTGCCTTTGGCAGACCTGATTCTTGGTTTGTGACGTTCAACACAAGAAGTTGTAGAATGTTTATCTTTGTATGTCCTAAAAAATAGTTGAGGTATCTGCAGATGGATTGTTGCATTTATTTAGGAAAGTGCATGTCTGAAATTACTGAATTTTTACAATGGATTGTATAAAATGTCTTCTTTTAAGCCACTGACCAGTTTGGAAGGGTGAGAGCACCAATAGTCATAACTTCAGAGTATAATAGTTCTCTGAGATGCTTTATGTTACTTTTCATTTAAAAAAAAAGAAAATTTATGTGTTGTGGAGATGGGTAGACAATCTAGGGACTGTGACTTAAATCATGTGGAATTTAAAAATGTGTAGTCACTGTAATCTTGCTTTTCTGTTCTTCTCCCAGTGATAACTCTAGTTCCAGGATCTTGCCAGTCTGTGAAGGGTAAAATCAAATTAAGGGAATGCGTTGTTTAGATACAGGAAACGGAAACTACAGATTTATCAGTGTCAGGTCACTATACATACCTAACTATCCTCTTTTTTGCATTTGTTTTTCAGCAGCATTTCCCTGCCTTTTTTTTAAAATACTCAGATTCCATGTTAATATTTGTTTCTAGGTAGATGACGAAGAGCTACAAGACGAGCCTCTCCAAATCACAGTTCTTGATCATGATACCTACAGTGCTAATGATGCCATCGGCAAAGTGTACATAGATATTGATCCTTTGCTCTATAGTGAAGCAGCTACAGTTATTTCAGGATGGTTTCCTATTTATGATACCATTCATGGTAAGATTTGGTAATTTAAAAGTAAAAAAAATGTTTGAGATGTAATCTGCTTCTTACAGTCTTCATTTCTGTAAGCCGTCTTCAGAAATTTGTAATTATTTTAGCCTTGAGAGCTGGAAAGATACTTTTCTGGCGCTTTTATCCTTATTTCTGGCACAATAAAATTTCTGGCGTAGTAGTACAAGACTAGTGCTTTGCAGAATGGCCTTCATAGAACTTGTGACAAGTGGAAGAAATCTTCACATGGTATTTAAAATAGTTACTGCAAAATTCAGATTAAAAGAAAAGACCCAAACATACTTTTCCAATTACCATGTGTTTACTAAAAAATATACTTTTGCTGAAGTCACTTGGGGTGTGCCTTCCTGGGATGCTGGATGAAGTTCACTTGAGATGGAGGGACAGGATGTGATGTTATGTTCAACATAAAGTACAGGATGAAATTCCTTTTCCCTGCAGAAAGTACTCTCAGTGCTAGGTAGATTTCATCAGAATGTCTTCAAGGTATGAGAAAATGAAGTTAATCGTATTTTTGCCTTTGATTTTAATGAAACACAGCTTTTGTCCGAGAAAGTCAAGGTCTGTCTACAGCAGTTAGCTTGCTCCTTGAATACCTTATTGCAGAACATCTATGTGGTTGTCGTTATCACCCTTGTTCATTACCCAGTGTGAGTTAAATGACTAACTATGTTAAAAGCTAATTATAAATCATTGTTGGGAAATAATTAATGGTATTTACTGGATGATCATCATAGCTGATGCAAAGTATTTTTTACATTTAAACCAGTTATATTGAAGAGGGTTTTTTTGAGAAATATTGCGTGTATTTTTCTTCTTATCCTTTGATTCTATTCACGTTTTCGTATTGTACATTTTCTTTTGAAGTTAAATTAGGTGAACACTTGTCTCGGAGTGTGTACGACTTGTATGTCAGAGAGAACTAGATTTCTCTATATTTTTCTAGATCTGTTAGTATTTCACAGCTTTATTTCTATTTAAGTAAAATTAGAATTCTTATATTTTCATGCTCATAGCAGTAGATTCTAGTTATCTTGATCCTTGGCAAACAGTAATTGATGCCTCCTTAAAAAAATAACCAATATAATGTTTATAGATCTTTATTAAAAAAATTTTTTTGCACCTTAATATGATTGTGAAAATATATGAACCTGATGCACTTCCTCTTATAGTAACTGAAGGCTTCTTTCTATTGGCATTTTGGAAGATAGATCTAGGTGACTTTGTTGCAATAATGTCAGTCAGTCTATGAATCTAATGCTTTTGTTTGAGTGTCATATATTTATGTGATGAAGGCTTCTGAAGACACTAGAGATCAGACTCATCAAGAAGTTTAGTCCTCAATATGTCAGAACCTATAATAGGTGAAATGATTTTGTTACTGGGTGGGGAACAAGAAGAAAAAGCTCAGAATAAAGAAGAAGAAAAATCAAAAAGGAATGGCTGTGTTGAGGAAATATTCCATTATTAATAAGGTTTAATTGTGGCCAAAAAATATGTGTTATCTAAAAAGTCGGTAAGACCTTATTTTTAATATATTTCTTCTCATAATCAAAGTATTTTACATACACTTACTGTGCCACTTTGTGGTTCTAGAAAGAACCATAAATTTTCTCACTGGATTGAGCTTCAGAGGGTAGCTTTACTGTGATTTTGAAACCATTTCAGGGAGGAATTGTAAAAGCTTTTTGGTGTTGGTCAGAGCTTTTTGATGTGAACAGGACTCCAGTTTCAAGGCATCTACACTCAAAAGTTGGTACTTCGGACCTTTTGTGCTAAGGATGTCTTGGGACAGTCATGGTACTTAGACACTGATTTTATACCATTCCTGTATTGATGGTACAGGGCAAAGGAGCAGAGAGAGCACTTGCTCACTGCAACAGAGGCCACTGTAGTATCAGGAGGCTGATGGCTTCTCTTTTCCCAATTCCTTCTTTCTTCTAAAGTCCTGTTCGGTGCAGCAGGTATTTGAGGACTGTTGCTTGCATAGCTTCAGCCTCAAACGCTGGACAGAACTAGAAACTTCCTCTGAGAGGGAGTTTCTGCATCAGACTTGAGAGGCAAGGAAATGTCTTCCTGCTCCTCTGACACAGGCTAGAATTGACACATGAACCGCCCGTTGAACTGAGCACGGTTCTAGCAGGGTTATAGTACATTCTTTGCAGAAAAACTAACTCATTGGTAATAGAAAGTGCATTAATTACTAGTAATAGGGAATATTTAATAGGGCTAGTTTTGTATTTGTTTCTGATACAGCTTCTATTTTTTTTTTTTATAGGTATACGTGGGGAGATCAATGTGGTTGTGAAAGTAGATCTCTTCAATGATTTAAACAGATTTAGGCAGTCATCCTGTGGAGTCAAGTTTTTTTGCAGTAAGTAGAGGAAAAAAGTTTATTTGAACAGAAAACTCCCCCGCCCCCCTTCTTTTCTTTCTTTACCTATTCTGTCAGTTTCCCTTCTTTCACCAGCTCATTGTATAAGCCCAGTGGTGATTACGTTGAAGCAAATGCAAAGAATTGTTTAGTTTTCTTTTTTTAAATAAATTTTTACTGTTCATATTTCAAGACAATGTAACTGATTTTTTTCCCTTTATCTTTCTTAAGTTGCATTTCAGTGCATATGCACATTGTGTTACTTTGGGTGCATATCCTGTGAAAGAGGCACAAAGTGAAAAGGTTTCATAATGGTACATGTTGTAACTGATACACTGGACAGTTATCTTATCAGTGTTCCAGAGTCTCCCAGAACAAAACTGCTTAGAGTATGTCCACATTTTAACAGAAAATTATGTGGATTACTTTATGGAATTGTTCACATCACTTTTTACGTGTAATTTTATGTTTTTCTTGGAATTCTTGGCTCATAGACTCATGCCTTACATCTTTTATATATATTTTTTTAACAGCTACATCTATTCCTAAGTGTTACCGAGCAGTAATAATTCATGGATTTGTGGAAGAACTTGTAGTTAATGAAGACCCAGAATACCAGTGGATAGACCGAATTCGTACACCAAGGGCATCGAATGAGGCTAGACAAAGACTTATTTCACTCATGTCAGGTATTAAACATGTAGGCTGTAATGGTTATTGCTACTTTTAAAAATATTCACTATTTAAATAAGTGACTTGCTTAAGACAACATTCTATGTGATTTTTGGTATTAATTATGTTTATTTTTCCGGTTCACAGTGTCTTCTGTTTCTGAAGGTTCTGTTGTCCTAACTGATGGCCAGTATGGCTGACTTGTTTTTTTTCTTCCTCCCTCCCTCCCTTTCTCTCTCTCTATTCC